ACAGTCTTTATAGATTGTACAGCGCAAGTACTTCTATCATTTAAGTTGGTAGAACAAAAGTCATCAGGGCAGTTATTTGAGATTTGACTTACTAGTCATATGGTGCGTAGCGTCCTGGAGATGTTGTTCGACATGAGTTCCGCTCCGACTCTGCTGGGGTGCAGGCCATCAGCTCGAAAAAGCCTAGGACGCTCCCAGAAAAGTTTCCAATTATTAACAAAGAGCAGTTTCTGTTCTTTACACCATGTCAATAACCATTCAGTTAAAGCAAAAAGTCTACTGAACCTTTCGTGTCCTCGTCGATACGTGGGAAGTGGTCCTGACACGATGATCGGTGTCGCGGGCGATGTGCGGCGCATCGTCTCGATCAGGCTCCTGAAGTCCCTCTTCAGTGTCTCCGTCTGCCGCAGCTTGGTGTCGTTAACCCCCGCGTGAACGTGTCCTCACCTGCACTCAAAGGTAGACACACATCCGCCATTAAAGCAAGTAACAGGGAATAGTGTATTAGTAATGTAAGCGAGATTAGCGGCAACCACGCTGGCGATGCTAGCGGGCTATATGCTAATAGCGGACTCAGGAAGTCAAAAATTGTGATAACAAGGCGCTCTGATTGTTTTTGTTGTAGAATACGATAGGGGATATATTCACATGTTATAGAAACGAAAATGATGGTGTATAAAATTGATTTTAAGATAAAAAATTAGACAACAAAGAATTAACTTGACGGAGTTCAAACTCAAAACACACGGCAGCAACAAACAGGAAGTGACATATTAAAGTTATTATAGGTATGCTTGTCCAAACAAAAATCACTCCAAGAGCAAAACATATAACATTTTAGGAGGTCACAAAAGCCCAGAGCACAGCATCTAAGGATCTAGAGGCCTCTCTTGAAATGGCTAAAGTTGGTGTGATTTCTTCACAATCAGGCAAGACAGCACAGAGGAGGCCACAGCTCTACAAGAAGAACATTTCTACTGATCTCAAATGTTCCTAAGACCATGTGAATGAGAAAGAACATTTTGTGGACCATTGAGTAGACAGAACTTTGATTGTAAATGAGAACCATTAGATTTGGTTACAAAAGAAAACTCTTCCTGGTGAAGCACAGTTAGGGCAGTATGATGTTTTGGGGCTGATTTGTTGTCTTTGGACCAGGACAGCTTGCCATCATTGATGAAACTATGTGTTCTGTGTTATATCAGAAAATTTTCTGAAGAATATCTTCAGGGTGTCCATAAACACACTCAAGTAGGTCTACCACTGAAAGGTTAAAGCAGAAGAAATGAAATGTATCAGGATTGCCAAGTCAAATTCACTTAAGCTGATGTTCAGGACTGGTCCGCAGTTACTGGAAATGTTTGTTTGCTAGTATTAATGATAAAGGGGGTCACACCAGATGCTCAAGACAAAGCTTCTTTTACAGCAAAAACATTCCCTTTATTTTAGTGTAGTACTAAGTCACATTGGAACTGATGATTTCAGTCCGTTGACATTGTCTGTGGGTATGTTGCTTGAGGCTGAGATTAGCAGAGACCTTTCTTTAGTTTATACTAGACATTGAATTGATCCAAAAGGTTGGAGCCAAATTTAGACAAGCTGTTTAATATTCCATAACAGGCCAAAATATGGTTACATCCTCAGCTCTGTACAATTGTGGCATTGTTCTGCAGAGCAATGTGGATTTATTCCAAGTTAATGATCTGTTGTCTGTGATCCTCAGCAAACTATGCTTGGAAAGCACGAGTGTGTAGCCTCCTTTTGCCATCAGCCACTATAAAAAGTTTAATCTCTTTCTCTTGTGTCAGAAGTTCGAACACCAGAATTTAGAGGCTTTTAAAGCTACTCTCAGATTTATAATGGCAACAAGGCAAAAGAAAGGCTCATAAGCAAAGCATTTTGCTGCACGTCCTTTCCATTCCTGTATTCCTCCCTCTAACATAAAATATGGATGCAAACTTCGTGACCTCATTTGTTTAGGGTTTCCTTGTTGAAGGAGGACACAATGTAGCAATAATTTTCAATCAAGCTAACTCCTCATTTACTTCAGATCCACTGTAGCCTCTGAGCCCTCACTTTCTATCTCTTTAAAAATGTATTGTCTTTTGTTCTCTCTCTTCATTCTTTCCCATCCAGCCCCTCCCAGTCTCATTGCTAAATCACTCCATAACATTTAAAGTCCAAGCCATTTGGGGATGGGGGCAGATCATCTTCATAATTCATTATGATTCATATGTGAAATCTTTCCTATTAGATATCACTCCTAACTTATTATTCCACTCTCCAGAATCATGAATTCAAATGCTCTAGAGAGGCATACTCATGGTCACAATAGTCACTGTATTTGCAGAACATTCACTACATTGCTTAGAGCTGGGGTGTCAAACTCAATTCCTGGAGGGCCGGAGCCCCGCAGAGTTTAGATTCAACCCTAATTAAACACACCTGATCCAACTAATCAAGTCCTTCAGGCTTATTTGAAAACTACATGGTATGTGTGTTGGAGCAGGGTTGGAACAAAACTCTGCCGGGCTCCGGCCCTCCAGGAATTGAGTTTGACACCCCTGGCTTAGAGGCTACCACAGATCTAGCCTCCATGCTGCTTCCTATAATTTCATTGTCTTCTCTCTACTTTTTGTTAGGGTTAGTAGAATAAGTTGGTGGACTTTCTAAATAAAGTGTCAGTAGATATTAAGCAGACGGTCTACTGATACTCTAATAACTGCTAGTTGACATGTAGTTGTAAAGTTACTAATAGTCAGTAGAATGCTAAAGTGGGCTATCAAAATAAAGTGTGACCAAAAAGTTGAAAAGCAACAAATGCTGCTGATTGAGTTGTACTGAACCCAGAACATTCCTTCAATAAAAATGGTACATTGTCCTCAATATCCTCAAGTTAACCATGTTAAAATTGCTGACACTTTTAATGCCAGTAAATTTCCATGCCTGGCATACAGGTTTTCTGAATTTGTTGCTGTATGTCTCTTCTACTGTAGGTGGTTATGGTTATGGTTATGGTGCTTATGGTGCATATGGTGGTGCTGGAAGATTTTACCCAGTGGCTGGAGGTCTGAAACCGGCTAAACCAGGTGCTCATCATCCAGTGAATAGTCAGCAGTGGTTAAAGTGCAGTCAAGTAATTACATATAACCATTAGGCCTTCTCTTTAGGTGCTGGGCTACCTGGAGGAGGTCTTCCTGGAGGAGGTCTTCCTGGAGGTGCCATTCATCCAACAAGCCTATTAATGATTTGGATGTTCTTTGTGGCTAAGTAACAAAAACTACACAGCTCTTTTCTAAGTCTGATTCTCTTGATTCAGGTGCTGGTGGAAAGCCTGCTAAAGGAGGTAATATACATATTTCAGAGTCCATTGTTTCCATTGTATAAACACATTGTGAATTAAATGTCTTTCGAGAAGAATCGAAAAGGAAAAAGTAGGTGGGGATCTGACCTCATTTTCAGAGGAAACATTCATACAATAAAAACATACAGGTCTCTTTTTAACACCTTTTCCAAATAACTTACTCTGTTGGTGTTCACGTGGCTATGACTCTTTTCATGGTACTCCAGTTGACTTGAAGTTGAATCAAGGAGCCTTAGATCATGAGCCAAATAAACAAACGTGTCCCCTCTGGGACCCCGCTGGTGGTGTTCATGTACCGAAAGCCAGCACATTACTTCAGCATGTCCTTGGCACAATCTAAAAGCAGCATGCAATGTCTGTTCTTCTGTGTTTGATATCGGTTGGAAAAGGGTTAAACAAATAAATGAACAGCCTGAAACATCAGCTTCCAGGCACTGAAATCAGATAAGATGACTTGTTTTATGTCAGAGGGACGGAGCAAGTGAGGCAAACTAAATCACTAAGGAAGCATAAGGAATATCTGCAGGCCAGATTTGCACCTAATGTGTTTAGTGATCTGACTGAATGTGTGCTTGTGTTCGTTCAGGGCCAGGTGCAGGAGGAACTGGTCCTGGTTCTGGCCTCCCAGGTGCAGTGAATGTATATTTAGCAAATAGTGGCATGAGTTCATTCGAATGATTAGCCAGCAGTGATAGTCTGGTCTAAGGTACTCTGACCTTTCAATTGTTTGTTAGGCCTTGTCATTCCTCAGACTGGGGTACAAGGACTGGGCCCTGGTGGGGTTGGACCTGGGGGAAAAGCCGCGAAGCCTGGGAAAGCTCCAGTGCCAGGTGAGTGTGGGGGTTTGAAGTTGTATCTGTACATGGAAATAAACATGATTATAGATCAACTTTTCAATCTTGTTTTTTTTTTGCAGGAGTGGGAGTGCCTGGACCTTATCAAGGAGGAATTGTTCCTGGACAAGGTTTGTTAATTTTCCTCTGTTTATGTACTGTAATATGACCACTAGGCCCACAAGGATTCTGCAAACGTTTTTCACATTTATGGTGCGGATTGTGGGGAACATATGCTGAATTCTGTGCAATTGATCTACTCCTGGCAAAATATGTACAACTGAGCTGAAGATGCTACACGCTTAGGCTAGAAACATATTATATGCAAGAATGCAAACCTACAAATTCTTGCAACACTCAAGGGTGCGATCGAGTTACCTTCACAGTGTGTAATGGATTATTCAGGTAGCTTGCTAAAGACTGTTCAACTTAATTTTAATTTCTTTGACTTGCTCAGCAAGATTGACTCTTCCATAACAGCAGTTGACCTAAAGTAGAAAGCACACCATAGAAGACTCTAATGCTGGCAGGAACAAGCAGAAATTATGCATGAAATGTAAATTGCGCATATGTGTATAGAATTAATTTGGGCCATTTTCAAATTAGCCAAGACATCTCATAAACAAAGGTATGTGTAGAACCTGAATGATTTCTCCAGACATCTGTGTGCTCACAGATTTAGTGCAGGCCTGCTAATCAGTCATCTGGATAAAACACCAAATTAAAATTGCACACATGGCCTTCATTTGGTCTTGATCACTTGGATTTAAATGATTACAGGCTTCAATGGGCGGGGTGTTCTTCCTGGTGTAGCCACAGGAACTGGACTCAAACCTAAATCAGGTAAACTCTCAATGAAAATGACATCAGTCATTGCAGTGAAATAAACTCTACCATATCTTTATGACTGACTGAATATTTTCCATAGCTGCTGGTGGAGGGCAGGGTCTGGTACCAGGTGGTGGTTAGTACATGAGCATACAGCAACCATGTAAACAGAATATTAACAATGATATCTGGATAGTGTGGAAGTATCTGCAAATCAGAACAACACCTGTCTTCAAAAAGTTTACATTGTCTGTTGACATCCAAACAAATGATCCTTTTGTTGTAGGGGGCCGTGGATATGGACCACTGCAACAAGGAGTATTTCACGGATACCCTCTCAAATCTCCCAAAGCCCCAGGTGGAACATTTGATTATTTTGATCAGACTGCACAAATCGTGCTCAGCCCAGCTCTGCCACGCCTTGAAAAGAAGCATTTGCAGACTGATTGCATTTGTGGTTTTACAGCTATTAAGCAACACAATATGAGGTTGATAGAATTAAGAAAGTAAGAATGTCTTTCATCAAATGCTCCGGATGAAACCCAGCTATATTGAATCAGTGTTTAGACTTGCATCGCTAGTCATCCATTTATGTGGTAGATTGCTCTCTGGTGCACCGAAACGTTGTGTGATTTCTTCTACATGGAGGTTCAGCAGTTGAAGTTGAATTAAGTCGAATTAATTTGTTTCTAGCACTAACCTCAGATGGACGATGTGCTCTCTGGAAAGTGACATCTCACTTGGGAAAGTGCCTTGAAAAAGTTCATAATCATAGTTTTCATAGTCACAACTAAAAATATTTTCATAAATGTTTCCACTTGAAGCTTGAAATGAAGTACATATTTTCATGTCTCTCTTATCTGCGCGTTATCAACCTTAATAATGGGCTAGGAATACATCCAGTGAAATAAGGAGAAATTGATTGCAGTATTAATATGTGAGCCTCTAGTGGAAGAGAACTTTTCCAAACTTGCATATTTGTTCTGATAAAAACAGGATACAATGTTGATAAAAATGTGTGGTCAACTTCAATGGTTTAATGCTTTACAGGTTATGTGAAAGTGAGCTTGTACGTCAACGGAAATCATTCAGAGGCTTATTTATCATCTAATAGTTTGCAGTTTTATCTGTAGCATTTTATCTGTATGTGCTCTTTGTTTAAATACTGGCCATGTGTTACTGTAGTTCTCGCCGAACTCTACTGTTGTGAATAGCTATAATATGTACAGGATACAACACATTTGTTGGCATGGTATTTTTGGTATATCTTTAGTATGTCTCGATAAGTCTTATGTTATGACTTGTCCTAACAGGTGCTGGGTTACCCTACACTGGTGGTAAACTTCCATACGGTAGGCTACAGTGATGACCTTGATCACATGCATGTGCTGAGTACCTTGTGTGTGATGTGTATGAGCTTGCGTGCTGATTCTCACCTGCTATGCCAAAGGTTATGGTGGTTTTGGTGGAGGTGCTGGACTCCCTGGTGGGAAAAGAGGAGCTGGCTCCAAGCCAGGTTATCCAACAGGGACTGGTGTGTTATGTCACAGCCACCATATTTAAATAATTATAATACACTATAAATCTTAAAAATAGCCTTAAAGAACACATCATGTTTTAGCTCAATAATATATATATATACTGTATATATATATATATATATATATATATATATATGATGAGTTTGGTTCCAAAACGCTATAAATCCATTTGGATTAATTTGAGTAAAAATGTGTTTTCTTTACCAAGAAAGTGGCAAGATGAAAACCACTATTTTCTGTTTCAAACTTTCACATAGCATCTTTAGGTTATAATAACATTAAAAATTCAAATCCAGATTTTGATTTTCAAAGATTTATTATAAAATTTTATTATTTTTTCCCCAAAATGCAATAAATCCATGACACGTTTTTTTTTTAAATTTTTTTAAATGCAATAAATCCATTGAATCAATATAAAAGTAATTTTTCATATTGAAACTGTTGAAAATACACAACATAGAAAGTTGATCCACATATGACAGCCTCTGAACTTGGTCAATACTAATCTTGTATAGAGGCACTGGACTAAAAATACATTCAATCAGTCATCGCTCCCAAAATGAATTCAACGGGTCATCTTGTTAATGCTATAAATTAATTACAGCAATAAAATAAAATTTCATTATGAACAAGAACATGAACAACATCACATTAGACCACAGAAATTCCAAATTGATATTTCCCTAACATTCAACTTCCAAAAGTGCATTCATCTTTGCCATGTTACATTCATTTGTTTGACTAGTGCATCTTGTTAATGCTATAAATTAATTACAACAATAAAATAAAATTTCATCATGAACAAGAACATGAACAACAATATAACATTAGACCACAGAAATTCCAAAATGACATTTCCCTTACATTCAACTTCCAAAAGTGCATTAATCTTTGCCATGTTACATTCATTTAGTTGACTAGTGCTATACGCTGTATTACCAAAAACATAAATGGCATTAATAAAAACACTTACACTGACAAGCCATGCAATATCGCGTTCATAATCGAATCCGACTCATCTGTGATTATGAATGCGATATTGCATAGTCAGTGATCTACGGCTCTGTGTATCCATCTGAAGCACGTGATGGAGATTTACTATTAATCACAGAACCGGCTTTACTGACGAGATGCGCATGGCAATCACATGCGATTTATCGTGCAGCCCTAAGTTTGTTTGTTGATCACAAAGTACAAAGTAGATGAGGAAAACTAGGAT